GTGAAAAGAGATGTTGAACCTCTTCATCCAATCCCCCGTCCCAGCCCCAGTTCTTCTCCCTTTCCCACAGGTAATGGTAAAGATTCTGGGGGAAATTTTTCTAGAAGCTTTTCTACTTTTTCTATACATTTATGTTCACATAGGTTTTGTTTTAAATTAAATCTTTTCTGATCTTCTATTACTGTGTAACAAGTCAGCAACAGCACTTCAGCCGTAACAATCGCTGTATCTTCCACAGTTGGGGGTGGACTGGGTTCAGCTGGTTGGTTCTTGTTCGAGAGCGCATGCGATTACAGTCAGCGGGCGGCTGGGGCTGGAATCACCTGAAGGCTCGCTCGCTCCCGCGTCTGTCTGCTGTGCTGAGACCAAGGAGCTGGGGGCTGGAATGGCAGGGGTTTCTTGGACATCTCTCTGTGTACATGGTCTGCAGCATTGTGGCTTCAGGGAAGTCAAGACTTTTTACATGAAAGCTCAGAACTTCAAACGCGTATGCCTCGAGAAAGAGCTGGGTGGAAGCTGTATTGCCCTTTTTAACCTACCTGCAGAAGTCACACAGCATCATTTCTACTGCATTTTACTCATCAAGACAGGCACTAAGACCTCCCAGAGTTGAAGGCTGGAAATATAGATTCCTTTTGGTAGGTGTGTCAGAGGTTGCAGACATGTGTTAGAACCATTACATATAGCCTTGGTTGCAACATAAGTAGGATTGTTATAATGAGATTGTGTATATTATTCTTTGACTTGAAATTGTACCCTGTAGTTTTGTTGGGGTTTTTTTGTTGGTTGGTTGGTTGGTTGGTTGGTTGGTTGGTTGGTTTTTTAAGGCACTGTCTCTCTCTGTCACCCAGGCTAGAGTGCAGTGGCATGATCTCAGCTCACTGTAGCCTCAACCTCCTGGGCTCAAGCAATCCTCTCACCTCAGCCTCCCAAGCAGCTGGGACTACAGGCATGTACCACTGCACCCAGCTAATTTTCGTATTTTTGTGGACACAGGGTCTCACTGTGTTGCCCAGGCTGGTCTTGAACTCCTTAGTCCAACCCATCCACCCGCCTCAGACTCCCAAAATGCTGGGATTACAGGCATGAGCCACTGGGCCCAGCTTTTCTATATTACTGCAAACGTATCGACTGCATTCTTTGTTACAGTTGCATAGGTTCTGTGATATGGCTGTAACATGATTGATTTCAACTTTATTGATGAACATTTAGGGTGCACCCAATTTTCCTGTATTTCACATAAGAATGACCTCACTTATTCATTTTCAAGTGCTTTATTTATTGGCAAAGCCATTGATGTTTAGATGTGTAAGGGGTCTTGGTTCTCCCTTGTACCTAAGGGGTGGAGAATTTTCCTGAAATACTGATTACACCATTTTACCAAGATCTGGGGGAAGACTCAGAAATGTCAGTTAAGGTCACCAGTTTAGAGATCCACATCTTTTTAAATTATAATTACTTTGTACACAAATAATTTTGTTGATCTTTGTAAACAATGTGATTATTGAATAAACAGAAAACTAGGTCGTGAAATTTCAGAATAGTCTCTGAAATCTGATACTTAGTCAGTTTTTCTTCTAGAAGGTGGTAGGGTTAGGTTTTTTTGGTTTGTTCAATTGATTGCCACTTCATAGAGCTGGTTGACGTAACTAAATGTTCCTAGGAAAGAGGTAAGAATACAAATACCCTGAATTTCAAAGGTTGTAAGGTTTGTGAAAAATAGGACATTTTATTTAAACTTGTGCATTTTATTTTGTTTAGGTTGGAGTAATAGATTTTTCCCTCTACCTTAAGGATGTGCAGGATCTTGATGGTGGGAAGGAGTAAGTACTGCATTGTACGTCACTTTTTTTTTTTTTTTTTTTTTTTTTTTGAGACGGAGTCTGGCTCTGTCGCCCAGGCTAGAGTCCAGTGGCACGATCTCGGCTCAGAGCAACCTCCGCCTCCGGGGTTCAAGCGATTCTCCTGCCTCAGCCTCCTGAGTAGCTGGGACTACAGGTGCGCGCCACCACGCCCGGCTAATTTTTGTATTTTTAGTAGAGACGGGGTTTCACCGTATTGGCCAGGCTGGTCTCGAACTCCTGACCTCGTGATCTGCCCACCTCGGCCTCCCAAAGTGCTGGGATTACAGGCATAAGCCACCGCGCCCAGCTACATCACATTTTTAATAAAATTCTGGCAAAGGCAGGTCTTCCGGCCTGGGCGAGCGCCAGGTCTCCAGACGGAAATTGCCGAAGACCAGCGGAGGCCCCGAAGCCAGGAATGGTGGGGCAGGAGGGGAGGGTGGGGGTGAGGAACTTCGGCCGAAGAATCCGGGTCAGACTGCGTGGTTGGGCCCAGTGGGGGTGGGCTGGGCAGGTTAGGTGTGGCCTCTCTCCACACTGGCAGTGCGGCCGGCCGAGGCGGTAGGAGCGCTGGGGTTGGAGGTGCGCACCCTGGGTGGTGTTCCCCGCCTGCAGAACGGGTAATGAGGCTCTTCTCTGCAGGAAAAAAAAAAAAAAAGAAAATTGGCAAAGAACACTTTTCTTGTTTTTGCTTTGAGATTTTAGATTTTGTTTAGTTATTTTTAAGTACAGAAGCAATGCATTATTCTCATTGTTTAAGGAATTTGGCTCTGCAGAAGAATAGAGTGTACAGGTGAAATTTCCCCATTCACACTGTCCCCTTGCCTCCATGTCAATCCCATTCTTCCCCACAGAGGAAGACTGTTTAATGCCTTGCAGGTATTTGTTTGTTGGTCGTGTATTTTGCTTTACCATTTGTTCAGATATAAATGGGATAGTATTATATAAGTTGGCCTTGGACTTGTTCTTTAATCATAGTGTTTTAGATTTTTGTTTTGTTTTGTTTTGTTTGAGATGGAGTCTCGCTCTGTCACCCAGGCTGGAGTGCAGTGGTGCAATCTCGGATCACTATAACCTCTGCCTCCCTGGTTCAAGCTATTCTTCCGCCTCGGCCTCCCGAGTAGCTGGGATTATAGGCATTCACCATCACGCCTGGCTAATTTTTTTTGTATTTTTAGTAGAGACGGGGTTTCACCATGTTGGCCAGGCTGGTCTCGAACTCCTGGCCTCAGGTGGTCTGCCTGCCTTGGCCTCCCAAAGTGCTGGGATTACAGGTGTGAGCCACCGCGCC